GATCAGCCAGTGGGGTGGATCTCGACAGTATTGTTGGGATCCGTCCAGACTGAGACTTGGCACTGCGCAGTCGGCATATAGCGGGACAATAGCCCACTATATACTGAGTTTTGGGTCACCGGAGGACATTGGTATATGTCCTCCTGTGACCCTGAAGAGTACTATTGTCAAAAAAAGGCTTTAATACTCAATACCAAAGCAGCTGTAATCAAATAAAACCTTCTGATGTGCAAAAGGTGAAATAAAACCATAAGGCCTTGGACTAGAGCACCAAATGGCTTCATGAAAAATAACTTTTCTATATATTTGGAAACATTTATACTTCTTGGTTTGTTTTTCATTTGTTTTATTCAGTGTTGGAAGCTTCTTGTGAGTTCCTTATTCAATGGTTTATTTTTAAAGCTCTAAAGGAGATAGGCCACCACAATAAATCTTGTCCAGGAAAGATGCTCTCCTGATCTAGTAGTTGCAGGCATGTTAAACAAGATCACAAGACAACGTGATAGCTATTTCTATTATTATAAGGGAGTTAGTCAAATCACAAGTCAATTATGTAATTGTTATAGTATTCATGAATGGTCATGAGACATGTAACGTATATAGGTGAAATAAACAAATGCATCAGGTCATCATTGTATTGAGTTTTATGGATGGACCCTGTGCATGTAAATGATCATAAATCTTCCAATATCCGAAAGAATTTGGGTATGGTCTACTATCTTGTTGGGAAACGAGAATGCCCACTAACACAGAATGTGCAAGTAAAATAAAGCATAGCATTGCCCATGTTTATATTACTAAGGCCACATCTTGAATATGATTTATATATGTAAATACCATCAAACCATATAATCTAATTACACAATGCCCGCTCAATTACCTTTAGCTGTACAACCAAGTGTGAAAGCCTACCTAATATCTTTTTCATTCGATTTGTATCCAATTAGGTAGACCCTCAGAATTCAAACGGAATTTGAAAACACATTTGATGCTTTTTTTTTTTACAACTCTGATGGCCTTTGCTACATGAGAGGCAGTTTTATTTTCCCTAATTGTATGCCTGATTCTGTTTGTAACTTGCTAGATTATTTGCCTTCAGTTTAGATACATTATGAAAGCCAAATGAAAACAAACAATGCACGCAGCACAGGCGTACAATGTTTTGTAGTCACATATACCTCAACATCAAAATAAAAAAGCAGAAGAGTCCAATGCCATGACCAGAAAAGCTGTGTCCAAAAAAAAAAAAGACAAGTTGTGGGCAAAGGAATAGACACCAGTATTGTCTATAGGTTCCCTGCAGCTGATTTTTTCTCCATTACTGACTTACCATGCCTTGTTGTGCACTGTGCCTGTGTGTAGAGGCAGCTATCTTGGCAAAGGAGTAGGGCTTTTCTTCCCCGTGACATCACCACCCCTCGACTGAACAGAGAACACCTAATATTCATTAATACAAATACTAGGTGTTCTGTGAATGGCCGCTGTGTTGAGTGAGTGACCAGGGCCGGCCTTAGGCCTTTAGGCGCCCTGTGCGAGAAAGCTTTACAGCGCCCCTCAGTGACCACAACCCTCAGTGGCCACACCCTTTAGTGGTCACACCCCCAGTAACCACACCCATTTATCACCCATATTTTTGGTAAAATATAAAAAGACGGGGTCACGTCGGGTAAATAGACACCAAACATGTCAAGCTTAAAAATTGCGCGCACCCGCAAAATCGCAAAAAATTACCATGCCCAAAATTGACCATAGGTGACGCTTTAAAAGCTTTTACCGCTCATCAGTTTAGTGTTATCAGTGATTGATAGCCCTACAATTATTGCTCTCATTCCGACGTTCGCGGCGATATGTAACATGTGCAGCGTAATGGGCGAAATCGTCGTTTTCACACATATACGCACCCGACGCCTGTTTGCATGCGTGTATGTATGGGGGGGACTTTAAAAAAAAATGTAATTCTTTTTTATTTGTAACTTTACATTTTTGGGGGGAAACTTTATTGCTATCACATAGGGGGGTTCGGTGTCACATGTGACTCTGACCACAAATATATATGAAGAAAGAAAAACTTACCGCACGATATCTCATCAAATCCATTTAGACAGTCCTTTGTAAAATCACAGCGTTTTCTAAGTGGTATGCAAGTACCATCTCCACATGTCAGATACCCAAGAGGACAGTTAAAAAATAAAGATTCTTTTACAGAACCTGTAAGAAAAAACATTGCAGTGTGATTACACACACACATAGTGTTGTTCCGTAAGAGGAAGAAAGCTCCTCTGCCCATTTTAGCAAACATTAGAACCTGCGCCACCTAACAGTAAAGGCTTCCATCAGCTGGCATCCTTACCAAGGACATGGAAAGGACATATGATGTTTTAGATATCACAGCCTACTCTATGGCTTGGGATCAAATTGCATCACTGGCAGAGCTAGATTTATATTTCCATGTTTCCTAAGTCAACTGTCTTTTGGCACCTACCCGAGCTGACTGGATAACCAGAAAGACAAAACAGGACTTTTTTTAGGGCCTTATTAAGGGGCCTGTTTATAGGAATCACCTCTAGGGAAATTAACTTAACTATAGTCAAACAATGTTTTTCTAGTTTCAAAAAGAGAAAGAAGGGTTGGAACTTCACCATTTGGTAGATCTAATTCATCTGATTGTCCTTAGGACCATTGTTACCAGAAAAACATGTGATGGGATTCCAACATTTTACGGCTGTCATTGGAACAGTGGAATGGGAAACCTGATATAGTGGCAGCTGTCAGAGGTGGGACTTTGCCTCATCTTAGGGAGATTTTCCCTTTATTGTTATATTTTTGGGAACAAGAACTACCGGAAAATCTCCCCGTCAAGATTAAAGATCTAACAGTTCTAAAAAAATGTTTTACATTATACTGTATGTGTCACATATTAAAGTAACACTAAACTCGGAAGTTAAACCTTAAAAATACATTCAGTTACCTTAACTATTAACAGAAATGCATCTTATTTGTGTGTCACTCGGTGGTAGATCCTCAAATCATCTCTGAATTAGTGCTGACAAAATCCTTCCTTCTGGAGGGTGGCTACTTTTGTTCCCCATGCTCCCTGTGTGTGTTGTAAAGTAGTCACCACTCCAAGCTCACTCCTGTGATGGACTACAATCTCATTACAAATTAGTAAACCTAAATTGAGATTGTAACACACCACAGTGCACAGATATGAATGATCTGTGTGCTGAGCCGCGTTGAAGAATAGCGTTGCATACAATATCTTTGGTGCATTGCGGACAATTCGAAATAAATAGGTTTCCTAATGCCCAATTATGGATGTTCAAAAGACCTCCTGCTTTCCAGCCCCCTTGTCAACTCCTCCCATGCTCGCCTCCAGGACCTCACTAGAGTCTTTGCCATCCTCTGGAACTCTTTACTCCAACCTGTCCATCTGTCTCCCACTCTGACTGCCTTTAGGCGATCCCTTAAGTCTCATCTCTTCAGGGAAGACTATCCAACCTCAACCTAACCGCTCAACCATCACGTTCTCAGACAATTCATCCCAACACAGCTACCTCCTCATGTTTCACTGGCCCCTCCCTTTTAGACTGTAAGCCCTCATGGGCAGGGCCCTCCTTACCATCTTGTCTTGTAATTATAATGTCTTCCATATATTGTAAAGTGTTGGCGCTATACTGTTGGCGCTATATAAATCTTGTATAATAATAATGTTGAACATGCGTGCATTAAAGCAACACACTGGTGTGAACGGGCCCTCACAGGTTAGCTCAAGGTCAGGTTAAGTGAGTCAAGGGGTCAGGATTGGGGGCTTTGTGGAGATATGTTGAGCGATGCATAAAAGTACATGATTAATAAAAAACAGTTCAACCAGACTACATGAAAACAGGCTGCGGACAGGAAAAAGACAGGAAAAGCATCTTCACTTTAAATGACTCCCAAACAAAAAAGAATAAAATATGAATCGAGTCCTTAAATTACCTGAGTATGTGTTATTGATAATGCTGCAGTCTGGAGATAAGCTGATGTCATCAATGGCAGCTGTAGCCTCAGCTGATAACAGCGTGGCTTCCAATATGATCTGCAATGTAATTTAATAATTAAAACCCACATCAAGATAACGTATGCCCAGAAAACTGACTCTCAATATGATCTCTAGTGGCATGAATAAAAGACCACAATAACCGAAACAAAACACACACTGTACATTTTATGTATTATATGAAACAACTGCCAATGAAATTCACACATTGGTAGGAAAAAGTACCCACACCTCCAGAGAAACTGCTGTCTATCCATATCAATGTATTGTTCCATAATGTTTAAAGCTGAATTCCAGGCAAATATTAGACACAAATTAATGCAGCTTTGTATTCATTAACCACTTGCTGACCGGGGTGTTAAATCCCCTTCCTGTCCAGGCCATTTTTCAGTATTCAGCTTCCGCTGTACTTTGATATTTATTCAGTCATGCAATGCTGTACTGAAATTAATTTTATATAATTTTTTGGGGACAGATAGAGCTTTCTTTTGGTGGTATTTAATCACCACTGGAGGGTTTTATTTTTTACTATATTAAGGAAAAATTACCGAATATTTAAAAAAAAAAAAAACAGTTTCCTCTATATTAAATTATGAAACATTTATTATTACCCAATTTTTATGTAAAATATAAAAGGCGGGGTCACGTCGGGTAAATAGACACCGATCATATCAAGCCTTAAAATTGTGCGCGCCGGCGAAAACCGCAAAAAAAACTACAATACCCAAAATTGGCCATAGGCGACAATTTAAAAGCTTTTACCGCTCATCAGTTTAGTGTTATCAGTGATTGATGGGCCTAGAATTATTGCTCGTACTGCGACATTCGCAGTGATATGTAACATGTGCAGCGCAATTGTCGTTTTCAAGCGTTGGCACACCCGACGCGTATTTACGTTTATGTGTGCACATACGTGGGGGGCGGGGGACTTAAAACATTTTGTTTGTATTTTTTGAATATGTGACTCTTATTTATTACTTTTTTACACTTAATGTTATTGCTATCACATAGGGGGCTAGCAATCCCCTTATGTGATAGCACAGGCACACTAACAGGTCCTCTTTATGGAGACATTAGGGGTCTCTAAGACTCCTAATGTCACCTGGGGACTCCCAAAGAAGCTGATGAAGCCGAGATCTAGCTATAGCAGCCAAAGAAATGACGGCTGAATGCAGAAGTGATGTAATACACACCACTACCGCATTCAGACGTCGGAGGGAGATTAGCAAGGCGGAAGATGCCTTATCTCCCTCCCATCTTCCACCTGACACCCGTCCAAGCCGGTCCTGGGCCCGCAGAGGGGACAGCGGAGCCTGGAATGGAAGGTGAGGGGCCTGGAGAGGGGGGCGCATAGTGCAGGGCAGCACATCAGTGATGTGCGGTACCTCTTGCTCCGGGTGAGGCCTTCCCCAGCCTCGCCCCCAGCACTTCCCACCCCGCCTCCTCCAGTCGAAACCCTGCCCCCTACCAGTCAAAGATCCGCCCACCAGATGAAGCCCCACCCTGAAACCGTCCCCAGGCTAGTGTAAAGGAGGAAGGGAGGAGCATCCCTGTCCCTCACTTGCTCCTCACTGCTGAGGCTCTATGACAGGTTACACAGCGGGGAGGATTTCCCTGCTGTTTAACCTGTTAGATGCCGATCTGAATGGAGAAATAGCCGTCAGCTTCAGACATGAAGCCGACAGCTTCTCCCTCCATAATTCTAGGTGAGGCTCTGCCTCACCTGCCTCCCCTGACCGCACATCCCTGCAGCACATACAAGCGATCAGACGGCTATAGAGCCACCGATCGCTTGTATGTATAACAGCCATTACCAGCTGTTTACATGTTGCAGTTTTTTCTGCTGGGGGGCGTGCGCGAGCAGAAGAAAAAGCCGTATATATTTACGGCGCCCCACTAATAGGAGCTTGCCGTTCGTCCGTTTTTTTTACAACATATGGTTAATAAATCAATAAATGTAATTTTTGGATGCAAGCTGTGTAAGTACCAAACAGCAAAGTAACCTAAAGTACCTAAAGCACAACAAGAGGCCAATCAGTTGTGCTGCAACACGCTGCCAGGAGGAGAGAGCAAAATGACTTGGAGATGAGGTAATCAGTGCGCTGCTTCTCTTTTCACTGTCCAGCGAGGGCATGGCTGTGGGGAAGAGACCTGTAAGTGTTACTGACACCCAGCAGTGAAGAATCAGGTCTTCTGACAGACAGGGATGTGCTGTGCTGTGTGTGAAGAGCTGTGTAAGTCTCAGGGTTGAATGGACAGAAATACAATTCCTTTGGCATTTATACAGTTCTCGTGTATGTACTTTATAAGTGCATTTAGCTGTTTATCTGGAGCTGAGCTGTAATCTGGCACTTTTAGAGGAACTCAGATTGTGAAAGAGTGGATCAGGGAGCATGAGACATCATTCTCACACATGGATTGGCCAACACAGAGTCCAGACCTTAACCCCATTGAGAATCTTTGGCATGTGCCCGAGAAGACTTTACACATTGGTCCGACTCTCCCATCATTACTACAAGATTTTGGTGACAAATTAATACAACTCTGGATGGAAATAAGTGTTGTGACATTGCATAAGATTATCGAAACGATGCATCACTGATCGCTGAGTGTTTGTACCTCGCTCTTCTCTCTGACATCTGTCACAGGAGGCTGAGCGAGTGGTGCAGGGAGGAAAGCTCAGCCTCCCGTGACAGCACGGGCAGTCTCCACCCACACACCGCTCTGCCGGACTGTGATAGGAGGCTGAGCGGTGTGGGAGGAGAGACGCCGGCCACTCACATTTCTCTCCTCCCGCAGCACTCGGCCGGCTGTCACAGTTTCTCTTCTCCACGCCGGGACACAGAGCAGCGCCCAGCGGGGAGGAAAGAAAGCAGGGATGCGCCGCTGTATCGGCAGAAAAATGGCACTTCCGGCATTTAGCCAAAAGTGGCATTTTCGGGCGATATGTTTTGGCGGCCGGTATATCCCTTTTTTTTTGGTAACAACTGTAACATTTTGGATTTCCCATCACTTTCTGTTCTGGTGAGGGGAAGCAGAAGAGGGGGACCACAAAAAAAACAAAACAGGGGTTCTCACCCTTCCCTACGCCTATAACTAAAAAGAGATAGAAATACAATTTAAAAAAATAATAAGGTTTTCAAAAAAATCCAGTGGTAATAAATAGAAACCAGACGACTTGTTTTCGGAACAGGACAGGGCCATTGGAGGACAAGACTCGTTTTTGATTACTCAATCATCCCTAGATATCTGCATTACAGCAAAGCCAGATTCCTGTTTCCAATACAGTCTTCATTCTTGACACGAGGAACAGTTTTTTTTATTTCTGACACAATATGGCATGCATTAATTTCAGCAGTTAATGTGCACTCCACAATCTGCTGAAGGTATATGAAGCCATCCATCAACCTTCACATGATGTAATAGTTGGCTGGCAGAGAGGTGTTAAGTGACAGTGAAAAGCTCTCCTAATGCAGAGAAAATAAACGTTCCTATAAGTGGAGGCTTTACCAACTTTTATTTCTTGTATAAACATTCAGTAAGCCATATGGAGCCAAAGTACTGAGAACACAACTTGCTATTTGTTACACTATTTTAATCTTTAACTATAACATTAAGGTATGATCAAGCCAACAGCCATAAACTGCTTTATAGACTTAAAGCTGAAGTCTGGGCACATTAAAGGAAGCCTGTAGTGAGGAAGAATGCAGACTGCCACTGCTGACCTCTTCTTTTTTAAATTGGCAATTGGCTGTATGTCATGCTGACCCATTGGCTTGAGTATCCAGTGGTAAGTATGCAGGTTAGTAGCACTGACTTCACTCTGACTTTGCTGGTGTGCATGCTCTTCCAGGTCAGTGACTCAGAAGGTATTGAAGCCATAGACATAGGGCCGTCCCTATAATGGGCCAGCCTGAGTGATTGCCTCTGGTGGCATTTTATTGGGTCATTTTTGGGTTGGGTGAGGGGGTGGCATGTGTGCCTACTGTCCCTTTTCCGGCCAAAGTGTCCTAGTTTGCTAACCAGAGGTTGAAGCTCTGGCTGGTGTATCGCCCCCTGCTCGTAGCAAACAATGACCTCACAGGTTGCCAGGAGCTGAGCAGGACACTCTGGCCGGTGATGTCACTGAGCTGGGCAGGACGCCTCAGGCAGGGAATAGCCTAGGGACACCGCTGCATAGAAAGTATTTTCAAAACTTTAGCAATGGAAGTATTTTCTTTTTACCACATTTAAATATATGAAGAAATAACATAAACATGGCCATTATGAGGAGGTTTCACTTCCATGCTGGATATTTAAATTATTTTTTATTATGAAAATGCAACAAGGGTATCTGACACACACAGCAGTGGGCAGGAACACCCAAATGTCCCAGACGGATAATAAAACACAAGTTGCTTGATCAGCCACTGTTGGCCTGGGAAATCTAATGGGTTAAGTATGATAGGTGTTCTGGGTCTGTCACCTTGTGCACTTGTGCACATGCTTTGTCCTCTATGTGTATGCCACTAAAGCCCACCAAAATGGGAAGTGTTGTCCCTTTCTTCTTCACTCCTTCTTGAGCAGATGAGGTGGCATAGTAGGTGAGCTTCATTACTGCCTGTAGTTTTACGTGAAACTCTAGGCAGTCATTTTTGGGTAGCGAAAATTAAACGTATTCTCATTAGAGACGAGACGCCTAAGAGGAGATATGATTGCAATTTACAAACTCATCAGTGGGTACTGCAGTATAGTATAAACTGTTTAAACTAAGAAATCTGAACATGTGGACACAACAAAAAGTTGGAGGAGATGCGGTTTAAGAGGATGTTTTTTACTGTTAGAGCAGTAAAAATGTGGACTTCCCTTCCGCAGTTATTAGTATCAGATAAAAGCATTGAAAAGTTTAAAAAAAAACACTTAGATCTGAGCTTCTCAGTTTACAGAATATACAGGGATATGGGAGATGTTAGCGACATCTGTACACTCACACACAAACACACACACACACACGCGTATAGGTTAAACTACATGGACCTGTATCTATATTGACTTTTACCAACTATGTAGGTAACATTATGTAACTATGAGGAAGGTTGAGACCCTCCATTAGGATTTTATTATTTCCATTCACTACCTGTATGGTCACTGAGAATGGAACTGACCGTATAGCAGGAATATAGACAGCAATAAAAACAAAATCAACAAAGCTTGTAACCAGTTCCCATAACAACACCCGCACCTCCATCATGAAGTCCATCACGGGAGTGAGCTTGGAGCAGTGGCTACTTTACAACACTTGCAGCGACCATGGGGAACAAAAGTGGTCACCCTCCAGAAGAAAGGACGGTGTCAGCACCAATTCAGAGATGATTTGAGGATTTACAGCCGAGTGGTGCACAAATAAGATACATTTTTAAAGGTGCACCGAAATGGACATTTCAAAACCGAAACGAAACCGAAATAAAAAAATTGTCAGGCCGAGAACCGGAACCGAAAATGTTTTTTTTTTCAATTTTTTCAATTTTATTTTATTTTTTTATAAACGTTGTAATTTTTTAATATTCATTTTTATTTGTTTATTCATTTTTTATTAAATATATTTATTTTTTACTTTACTTTGAGGGGCTTTGGAGAATATTAGGGGTCTAAACAGACCCCTGATATTTCCCTTTTATAATACAAAAAGAGATTGAGTCCTCAATCCTTTTTTCTGCAGCCCCTGTTATAAATGAACAGGAATCCTCTATACTGAGTGTTCCTGTTCATTCATAACATGAGAACATCGCATGTTTACTATAACCACAATCATGAATGAACAGGAGGTGATGTAGATCACTTCCCATTCATTCATAATTGAGGATTTAGTAACCATACTCTGTCCTCAATTATGTGCAAACACTCAGCGATCACTGATCGCTGAATGTTTGCATTGGCTCTCCTTTCTGACAGCTGTTACAGGAGGCTGAGCAAGTGGTGCAGGGAGGAGTGCTCAGCCTCTTGTGACAGCACTGTCTCCGCCCACACACCGCTCTGCCAGACTGTGATAGGAGGCAGAGCGATGTGGGAGGAGAGACGCCGGCCGCTCACACCGCTCTCCTCCCGCAGCACTCGGCCGGCTATCACACTTTCTCTCCTCCCCGCTGGGACCCAGAGCAGCGCCCAGCGGGGAGGAAAAGAAAACAGGGATGCACCACTGTATCGGCAGAAAAATTGCACTTTCAGCATTTAGCCAAAAGTGCCATTTTCGGCCGATATGTTTTGGTGGCCGATATATCGGTGCATCCTTACACATTTTTGTTAATAGTTAAGGTGCTTGAATGTATTTTTAAGGTTTAGCTCCTGAGTTTGGCGTCACTTTAAGCCATCCATACACATAGTTCTCTTACAATTGTCATTTGGTGGAGTAAGTGCCTCCGTACCTGAGATGGGTCTACTGAGTCCAACAAGTTAGTCTTCATATATATTGTGGCCTTTGTCCATTCACTCTCTGTACCGCCGCTGAATTCCTGCAACAACTGCAAATCCTGACTCATAAATGTCCTCTTCAAGACGGATATTTTTGCGTGTTCTGACAACTGGTACCAAAACTGAATCTGTGAAGAAACAAATATATTACAACGATAACCTGAAACGACATAAATTGTTATGTAAATTGTCCCAAACAGTGTTTATATAGAAATCAAGATGGTGAAGCGAAGTCCAGACAGGTATTTATGATAAAGTCATACAGGCCACGGCCTAGAGCAGCAGCTGGGGATGATGATCATGCCTGATGAAGGGACACTGAGTGGCCCCGAAACATTGCTTTGTGGTGATATGGGTGTACATTAATAAAATGACCACTTGTTGAAGATTTTGCTTTGGTGTGCTAGTGATATACTTTACTACTTGGATTGGAAGTGGTGCCATGCACTATCACTGCAGCACCCACTGCAGTGATAGTGTGGTGGGAACCTCTTCAAATGACTTAAATGGTGCACTGCTAATACCTATCTTTCCTTTGATCCTCCATCTGCCCAACAAAATGTTGTAAAATACTTTGGGTATGGTAGAGCACCTAACCTTCTCCCCTTTTTCCTACAATTCAGCATTGGGTAAGTTAAGGTAAGTGTATGCAGTGAGAATGGCAGCAAAGTGAACCTGTTGCTTTACCCTACATGGACACTGCACGGGTTCACTTTAAGGGCCAGTTTACACCATAGCGTTGTGCTGTAGCATGCTAATGCACAAAAAACAGGGAGGCCAATACACCTCCCATAGGGTGGGCACTGTGATAATAAGTAATGCACGCACTACTCTTTATCTCTGCAAAGCAAGGGCATGTTTACACCTGTGCATTGTGATAAATTACTGTAAAAAGAATGTTTTTCCATGTGTTCCTGCAATCACATGGCAGTGCAAGTACCACAGTGTGGTGCGCTGTTATCCATTTTGAATAGCGCCCCAATGCACACAACTCACCACAGCACACACATGTGAACAATCTGTGCACTTTGTTTAAAAAAAAGTGTGGAATGCAGCATTTTTGGTGCATCGTGACCCGTAAAAAAGTAAATGAGCTTCTTAACGCAACTTACATAACACACAGGTGTGAATGGGCCTGCTGATAGATGCTTTGAGGCATAAGCGTCACTAGGGTTGGTGTCACCCAGTGCAGTAACTCATGGTGCCCCCCCCCCCGCCTCTAAAAACAAAATATTTAGTAAGAAAACAATAGAATGTCTCCCCTGCCCTCCGATACAGGAGATCAAGTACAGAATTGTGCTCGATCTCCTTTGCAGCCCGGCTTGTGACAGCTGAGACGGGAAGCGCTGTGAGTACAGCGCTCACTGTCACTGATCGCACAGAGCAAATTGGAAAATGGACCTAGTCCAGTCTGCTCTCAGCTCCCCCTCCTGAATGAATTTGCTGTGCCGGTAAAATAGTTCCTGGTCTCCGCGGGCTCTGGGAGCATGCTGGGACCTGGCGGGTGTCACCAGTGTGCGGTCCACACTCCCTGCACCCCCCCTAGTGATGCTACTGCATTGGGGTGCCATTCAGAATGAACGCCAACACACCAACTAAATGTGCTAAATGCACAGATCCCGCAGATTTAGCCCGACACTACGATGTGAACCATCCCTAAGGGTTGCTACGATTTGCTTTGCGCTGGCCAACAACAGAAGCAGACAGCTCAATCAGGCAGAACCGGCTATTGTTTGAAAACAATTTGTCATTGTATACACTCAGTCAGAGAACAACTTATCGCAGTGTGAAACAAAAAATAAATCATCACCCCCAAACACCAGCTGAGAATTTAAATCCGAGGCCCGAGCAATTTCAATAAACAGTGGGGATTTGCCTCCTCCGTCCAGAAATGTGCGATTTGCAGCATGAATATTTTGAATAATTCATTCCGGAATGAAGAGGTTATGTTTTTATTCCCAGGCAATGCAAACTCGCCTCTGCCTCCTTCCCACTGCCTTGCTGTTTTTGTTCTCTTCATTACAGTCAGCGTCAAGACTTCAGTAGGAATTAGACGATGACTACGCTGAGTGGCTTCTGTAATGTTTTTTCTGTGTACACCAGGTAAACAACATTTCCTGCCTCCCCTTAAAAAAGTAGCGGCAGGAATGATGGATGACAAATCCCCCAACGCCAGAGCTGTATGATATTCATGCACGAAATTGGCTTCCATGATAATTATATAGCAGCCAGCTGTATCTTCTTTTCCTCTAATGCTAACACTAGGCCTAAGAGAGAGGCCATTGAGAGAGAGAACAGACTGTCAGAGAGACCATTGAACCCTTAGTGCCATGCGTTTCGGTCCGCCATGGTCAACCCTACCTAGCTTTGCTTTTAAAGGTATTTAAGGTGCTGCTGTAGGTCTCTACTTAAACAATACTGTCTTAGAGAATCAGAGCAGACTACAATCCCATCATCCTAGCCAGGCACTCTCTATAATTGGTGCTTAGACTCCGGCTAATTATAAAGATTCCCTCTATTTACATAGCCTAAGCTTCAAAAAATGCATTAAAAGCTGAAATCTAGGCAAGCAGCTAAATACACAGATTAATTACTAATAACCGAGCTGTTTTACAGACAATGGATTTGTATTTGTGCCCATGCCGACAATTGATTTAGACAGCTCCTCCACCCAGCACAGCTCTGTCTAGCAGAGCAGGAGACCTGATTTTTCTTTGCTGCAGTTAAGTAACACTTATAGGTTGTTCTTGCTGTGCAAAGGACTGCAAGAGGGTGATGTTAGGTTAATGTCAGGTACTTACACTGCTTGCATTTAAAAAATGAATTTTATGATGTTTAAATAAATATATAGCGGCAATAACTTGTGTATTTTATATCTACTTGGAGTTCAGCTTTAAAACTCCCAAGGTGAGAGACAGCATCAAAAGGACCCGTGGCACTAGAAATACAGGAGCTATCATTGCCGAGTTGATATGTTAAAAGTACAAATTTTGGGTCTCTTTGCTTCACTGCTCGTGACTTAATAAACTCGAGCAAGCTATGCAGGTCAGGGGCCTTAAAGGGAAGATCCACAAAAATAAAAATGAAACAAAACAATAACATAATATAAATAATTGCTTTACTGTACATGCCATTTTGTAATGTATTGTTATTAAAAATTACCTTTCCATTTTAGACTGAAGCCGCTGTAAGTTTCTAAAACTGTCAAAAAAATTAAATGCAATATGGCAACCAGGAAGCATTCTGTACAGAGCAGGTGTATACACTGAGTGGCCAGTTTATTATGACCAACTGATGTTTGTAAGCAAATTAGCTATAATTAGCTATAATTTTGCGCTGAAGTTGCTAGAGGGCCAGACCATTATAAATAGGGAAGCAGGTTGTTTACCACGACAGTAGAAGTGATTTTTTTCTGAAAGTACGGGGAAACAACGCGATTTAACAGCCTTTGAACGTGGAATGATTGTTGGCGCTCGGAGCCATGGAGCGAGTATCAGCAAAACAGCAGAATTCGTTAAATGTTCAAGAGCAGCTGTTGTTAAAGTGTTTAAAGACTGGACTGTCAGCCGAAAATCTGGGTCTGAACGTGCGAATTGTGGCCGTCAGCGACTAGTCAATGTTAGGGCAGAACGGAGAGTGGCAAGACTAGTACAAGACAACAGAAGGGCAACAGTGCAGTGTCAGATTCCTCGCATCACCTTTCAACATCTCGTGGAGTCACGAGGCGGCCCAACGAAGTACTGATGGGGTGGTCATAATAATCTGGCCACTCAGTGTAAAATGCCCCAGAAATGTCCCTTCCTGCTTCTGTGATTAGCTGACTGATTTTCCCAGTCTGCACTGAGATACCAGTAATATTTTAGGAATTTAATTTTTGGCGAGATACTCCGTAAGGGTTAATTGCTACTAAAGGGATGCCGACGCTGCAACTTTCCTCATTAGAACACAGGAAGTGCACCAGCTGATTATACCAAACCAGATCCTCCCATTCAGGAATCAGCTTGTAAAGGACCTACTTTAGCAAACTGTTATTTCTTCAGAAACAGGTCAGAATCTGCAAGAAAGTTTGGTAAAATCCTTGCAATGTGCACAGATCACCCAGAGAGGATTGATTTCTTCTCAACAAAAGTGGAGTTCCTCTTTAACTTCACCTACAGAATGCCTGTTCAGGGTCAGTCACTTTATACGGATGATGACAGCCCTTTAAAAACAGGTTGACAGTAAGAGCTCCAGTATTTTACCTTCATAGGTTCCCTTTAACGTCTCCTCTCATTAAACTACTTTGAGAACATAAAATTCAAGTGTGCATAGTAGAAGTCACAGCTATGTACAAAGAAGCATCAAAAGGGATTCTGAGGAAAAAAAACCATCATCTGTTGGGGGTATATATTAGGGGGTGAAGGTGACAGTGACAGTTGGGCTTAGGTCCCGTGAAACTTTAATTATCCTTTTAGGTGACTCAATACTTTTTGGTTTGCTGAAATGTTATAAATGTAGAATTGCCTAATTCACTAACAGATTTGCTAATAATCTTCATATTTTAAAGAATTATTTCAATTGCTGCCATGGAAGGCAGGTAGTTCTCCTTGTATTCTTATCCGCTGGACAACACCTGGGGTCACATCTTCTACCATCTTTCATGGGTAACACAGAGACAAATAAACTGAAACATTCTAGTCACAGCCCCTATTTATCAAACTCTGCATTGCCTCTCCTGTGAGATAATGATCACCTTGGGTGATGTTGTTTCATGGGGGTAGTTCATCACATTATGGGTTGTGGTAGACGTGTCCATATATCAGGTTCACCAAACTACTCTGGGTTGGATTTTATTATCATTCTATAGATGATGCAGGTCAACCCTAATTATAAAAGCTCCCATAATGTGGATAACATGTATTTAAAAGAAAATATAATATGTTGGGGTATTTCCTGGATGAGCAATAACAGAGTTACATAGTACAACGTCGATTAAAGGAAGCTTCATTTACAAGCATGTTACATTTCTTTTTAGTTTATGACTAACTATCATTTGATTAAAGATCAACTGATAAAACATAAAGATGACACAATTTAAGTGGCAGTTGATATGCGGTTATGTGACACAGTTCAAGTGGCAGCAGATAAGAGATCCTTATCTTATATATGATCTGAAATTTAGCTCATCCCTACTATTTACAGACTTGTACCGTGTTAGCCATCAGTTACTGCATGAAAGAGGAACTTCAAAAGTTAACCGTTGCAGTTGAGCTACCCCTGCCCTGCAAGGGTTAACAGCTCGTTTTGGTCTAGGGTTTCAAATAAAGAAATCATACTTACCTGACCAGTCCCCGCAGCCTTTTTTCACCCAGGCTCCGACGGTGTAAATCCTGCTGACGTCATCATGTCTATGGAAGGCACTTGCAATAGACATGAGGATGCCGAGGGACATATTACAGCCGGAGCGTAAGGGGGAGAGAGGTGAGCGGTCACAGCAGCAGGATCGGGTGAGTGTATTTTCTTTATTCCATTGCCTAGACCAAAATGAGTAGTTAACTCTTGCAGTGTGTGGGTGGCCCCACTGCAGGGGTTAAGTTTTGAAAATCCTGGAGATCTGCTTTAAGTTTGAAGCTTCAGTGATACCCTTCCGTGGCTCACTTTGGCTCACTTTGGATCGAGTGGAGAGGGATTAAAACCTCTGTCAGGTTTATATTGCTGTCTGTGTCCTCGTTAGAGAGATTCCCCCTCTCTTTTTGTCCTGGTAAATTGTTATCACCGAAAGTGACAGAAAACCTCAAATTCTGGGTGATGATTAGAACAGGAATAGATAGGAAATCTTCCAATGGGGACACTAGTTCTGGTGGCCCTGTAGGGATTTCTCTCTCTTTGGAGGGATTTCTTCTCACTTCCTAATGTAGCTATCTTAGAGGAAGTAAAGGGAAATCTCCCCAATGGGACACGAATGGCAAAAAAAAAGCTGCCAAGTGTTACAACTCTGCCTTACTCTACCCAAAGGTAACAAAAAAAAAGTTTGGTTGCAAGTTTAAGTTATTAAAGATGCAAGCTTTTGGGATGCTTTAGATCACTTCATCAAGACATGCCTGGAGCATAAGAAAGGAAAATAATTATACAGAGGGACAGCATGACAGGGGAAAAGGGGAGCCGGGCACAAAATTCTTGTGGCTCTCGTCACAGCAGTTTTGGGATTTTCTGGTGGTCTGGGGTCCTTGAAGGTGGTCTGGATGGCTTGTGTATTGGAATAACAGTCAGCGACCCATCCTAGGTGTGGTCTTCTTTATGTGGTGGTCGATCAGTTGTGACCAGTTAGTTTTGGGCTGAAAGTGTCTGCGGTAAACAGATATTGTCCCTGAGGCAGTGGTGTTGCAGCCGGGGGGCCCACAGTTAGTTATCTGAAGCTACAGACATGGGTTATGGGTGGCTATTGTTACCTTATGTGCCTTCAAGGACCCGGAAACCAGTTGTTAATGATATAGTTGTATTTTGTTTTGATAGTATTTGGTTATTTATGTATTTATATTTCGATATTTAATTAAACAAGTAGCTGCTGTGGCCCCTTTTGAACTCCATACAAGTCTAATGTGATTTCCTGATGGTAATCAGGTGAAGGGTGGGGGTTCTCAAGCAAGATAAGAGAGGGTTTTGGTTTAGATGGGCTCCCTCTGAAATAACCTTGTCAAGCTTTAGCCCTACAGTATATAAAGCATTCCAAAAGCTTGCATCTTTAATAATTTAGGTTAGTCAATAAAGAGTGTTTTATTTAAACTCCAAACTTTCTGCAAACTTCATTTTATCACTCTCCTGCCTTATAATGTCAAATTTGATTTTGAGCAGAGAACACAAAGTCTAACCTGGCAAACGGCAGCTGCAGACAGCTTCACAAAAAAATCGCTTTCCAGCTGGGAGGAGGGCGTTATTTCTCCTTGAGCAGACTCGGCACTGAAGTACGCAAAGTGTCCTAAAAAAATTATAACAAAAAAACCTCCGTTATGAAATTAGATATTTTCATTATGCCGTTCATGTGCTGTAATAATAGGATACAGAAATGTGGTATTATGTAACAATGATTGCAAACTGTTCTACAGCAGTATTGTCTGCAGCTATTGTTCTGTTGTACAGTCAAAGGTAAGGAAAAACGAGCAGTAAAGCAAGGATTTTATAACTATTTTCAATTCTAAAGAGCAATTACAGGCAACAAGTGGAACCAATCAGGAAACTACAATGTAAACGGCAAATGTACTAAAATCAGAACGTTTACAGTCTGTAATCCACTGCAGCCAGTATCCAGAGTCCAAGCAGTCTTCTCAGTCTGAGCAGTAGTGGTACACAAAGGTTTAGCAAAATGTGAAAAAAAATCGCCCAAGACAATAATGTCTTTGCTAAACTTTTTCAGTATTGCTTGGACCGAGAAGAAGGGGTGGTAGACCCCCGAAAAGCTGGTCCTGAAAATGTACCTGTTAGTGCAAATAAAAAAATGTTACATAGTATTTGAGGTTGAAATAAAGACACAGGTCCATCACGTTCAACCTTTGTGTGTCTGTGTGTGTTTGTGCGTGCATGTGTATATAAGTCCCTGTGAGTACCTGTACCCCTGTATGTTACGGTCTCTTAGGACAGTATCTAATTGATTTTTTTAATAAATCAATATTCTCTGCTGATACCACTACTTGTGCCAGAGAGTTCCAAAATTTAACCCCTGACTTTTCTGACTGGAAAAAAAGGCCCTACTCCCTGTGTGGTTAAATCTTTTCTCCACTAATATTAGGTGGTCTTTGTTATGGAGTTTACAGTAAAATATTATTGCTGATGTTGCCATCTCCACTAAACATTTTGTACAGCACGATCATGTCCCCTCTTAGTCTTCTTACTTCCAGCTTGAACAAATTTAAATTTAACCATGTCGTCTCATAGCTTTGATCCTCCAACCCCTTAATTAGTTTCATTGCCCTTCTCTGGACTCTCTCCAGCTACAGGACATTCCTTCTGTGGATTGGTGACCAAAATTGAACCGCATACTCCAGATGAAGCCAAACCAGTGATCTATAAAGTGTTCACGGACAGTACACAACTGTGTTGTTGGAAATACACTAATACGGTTACAATCACCGTAAGCAAGACTGGTTTGAATCTGATTGGTGGAAGTGACAACTTTCTTAACCCTGACTTATTTTTACAACATACATTGTGCAAACGAGATACAGGAAGAAGCCTGCAGTGGGTTTTTTTTTTTTTTTTTTGAAACTCCTCTTCTCCATTACATGCAGGGGTTCTAAGGATGCCAGGTTACTGATAAAATGGAGTGAAATGGAATGGAATGGTGCCCTAAAGCACCATTTCAGAACATAGCCTATGAAAGAAGAATTAATACTAATCTGTACGGTGGTTGGTGACCACCCAGGAATCTCCAGGATGCAATACTTCTAGATGTGTCGGATGCCTAATGTGTGCTGTGTGTTGTTGCTCCACCTGCCAGCTCCTACATTACTACTCTGTCCTGTAGCAATGTAGAGTCAGCAGATGAAACTACAGTGCCCAGCAAAGGACCAGATAAGTAAGTTGGATACTAAAGATTCTTTAAAAAAAAAGAACTGAGCTTTTCAGTAAAGGTTGGAGTCACCTCCTGTCAGACAAGTAAGCATTAAATCAGAACTCTAGTCTTGAATTAAAAATAAGTAGCCCAGCAAAAGCAAAAGTAAAGAAAATTAAGGAGAGTTTGCTGCAATACTCACCTTTATTCCAGAGCTCTTCCTTGCAGTAATTCCTTTCTACCAATAGATGTCATCAGCATTCCAAGTGTAATGAGGGCCAGCATCATTTAACTTACTTCCTCTGAGCCAAGGCTGTTCCAAGGGTGGGCCCACTCCCTGGGAGTGATTCAGAGCTGGAGTAAGGTTCACTCCTTTCCCTCACCGGGACTCTTAGAACTGGAGTTTCAGTTTAATGAAATCTACTTGCAGTGTGATTTTTTTTTCTTCAAATTATGATGACAAAGTTGCTTTGGCATCCAAATTTCCATAAAGCAGTTCAGTAGGATTCACAAAGAACACTTAAAGAAAACTTTCTCTTGTCTTTGTATGGTAGTGATTGCTGCATAAAGTAACTTTTGCTATTCTGCCCACATGGATATGGTCATCCCAGTAAAAATACTCTATTTGGGGAAAAGGGCAGGAAAATGCTGCAGGCTGTGAAGTGCAGGCACCTAGGAGGTGTGCATACCTGCAGCACCCCCCTGCCCAAACCTTCAGTCACAGCCGAATCTCAGGCTGTTCTGGCAGACAAAGCTCCAACACTTCTTGATACATGCCCCTTTCTACCTCCTCTGTATTTCAATTGGCTGGTGAGGCTGCCCTGACACTACCCAAAAGGCTGGGCGCTGCTATCTCTGAGGCAACCAGTGCATCAGAGGTCTGACTCAACTACCTGATCTCACACACTGTCTCCCAGATTCTGAGTGTGCAGTGTATGAGGTCTGAAAGGTGACAAAACAACGTTAAGGCTTCAGGTGACATCTAAATCTCTGGCATATGAGCTAAAGTGACAGGCTTAGAAAAAGTAAGTATAGCTAAATAATGGGTATATATATATGTAATGTAAAGTAAACATGTGGGTTTATCTTACATTTTTGGTGGCACCAATTTCATTAAACAGGCACCTCAGGAAGTCTGATTGCTAGGGCACCTTATCTGTAGAGGGCTCTGGGTTTCGAAAAACTCCATAGTCCATTTAGACCATTATCAACCACAAAGCATCTGGATGGATATCTAGCCCACCTCTTCCCACACTCGCTATTGAAAAGTGAAGAAGCTGACTATCCCATTTGGCAAACATGGAGGCATGCCAAGTATCAACCAAAAAACTATGTGGCAGTTTCTTGCCTAACAGAGAGTCGGGTTTTGGGCATCATTGGGTACTCTGAAGACAACCAGGAGGTGCCATCATTGTGAACCTGGGGCCACCTCAGGTGAATCACACTTAAAATGTCTAAATATTAGAATCCTTGCATTGTAATTGGTTCTCTATAAGCACTTATTAATATGCGAGCTAAAAATTCCACTTTTAAAGCTTCTGATTATTCAAGCTACTCATAAAGTAGCACTCAGTCCATTGCGAGACAGATTTGATTTAGTAATGTTTTATCTTGGTATATCTACAGTATCTGGTATAACTGAGGATAACGTTAAAAATACAGTGGGTTTTTTTCCCAACGGTTTGGAATCAAATATAGGAAGTCTTGCATCTCTTATTCTATTTGACTGTAAATTATACATTGTCAAGACAAACCTCTTGACATTCATTATGGATTTGGCAATATATAATTGAAGAGCCATGTTAGCAAGTGTCTGGATCACAAGCTGCAGCTGTATACAGGTTCAGGGAGAGCAGGAAGGAAGATCAGTCAGTAATGAGGAGGTGAAGTCCCTGGACAACTAGGAC